TCTCATCTATTCCCTTGACTTTAGTTTTCACCTTCGTGTATATGGTTTCCAAATTTATTTGTGACCTCCCTCCTGAGCTATAAACCCACAATTTCAGCTGCCATACAGTGTCCCTCAAGTTATTGATTTCATCATTTCCCCTTTGAAATTGTCCTTCCTTCTACCTTTCCAGGGATTGTATCACTCCATTGATCAGGCTAAAAAGCTCAAAATTCTCTCTTTTTGTCTGCATATCCAAACTGCTTCCAGATCATATCACTTCTGAAAATGCTCAGTTCTTTCCGTGCCACTGGACTAGTTTCTTCCTTCATTACCTCTCTTCCAGAGTATCGTTATCCCCATTGTAACCAACCTCTCTGCCATTTAGTCCCTTGCCCCTGTAGCCTGTCCTCCTGCTGGACAAATCCGTGCTTTAGAAATTATCACTCTACCATATTCACAATAAAATCCAAATTTAAACGGACATTCAGGACTCTCCCTGATCTGATCACAGCTTACCTTTCCAATTTCTCCGTTGTGCCTCATTCACTCCAGATTACTTGCCATTTCCCAGACACATTCCCCAGAAAGTGCCTTTCTTCCTTACCTTTGTTCTTGTCTCCTCTGCCTAGCATGCCTTTTCCCCCACTATTGTCAAAATTTTACCCATCTTTCAAAACCTACTTAGAACTCACCTTCTACTAGGCTTCCCAGATCCCTCTCCTCCAGGTTCTCTCATCGCTTTTCATAGCTGCCCTACCAGTACGAATAAGGGAGGATATGAACTCCTCGATTTTGTCCTATGCCCTAGAAACCTCTGACACACACAATACTCCTGATACCACTGTGGCCACCTTCCCTGTCTGCACAACAGCTCCTGCCCTTCCTCCCACTTCAGTGATTATTCCTCTTGACCTGTAAATGTTCAGTGGGGAGGACTGTCCCATACAAATTCATTCCCAGGGCTTTTAAAAAGTGAAGCCTTTGTGAAATATTGTTAGAATTAAGAGAGAAAGTAAGGGTGACAGCAACCCAGAGGCCACAGACAGAGTGCTAAGACCATCAAAAGAGGGGAAGAGAAAAAAACATGATTTTGGCTAATAGTAACAGAGGATAACTGGGATACTTTATCTAGTAACAATGTGGATAACTCACTTGGTTAACCAAAGTATGAGGCTTAGTATGAGCAAAGCACTGTATATAATGACAATGTTTGAAACCTAATAAGATAAGGCTTATATACATGAAACAATAACAATGTAAGGCAAGCTGTAATAAGTGATACAAGTTCAGACTCTTCTCTTCAGGTGCTGGCCAATAGCAAGTACAAACGAGGATAGTGAATCCAGTGAGGATCAAAGTATCAACTTGATTGGTGGAGAAATTGATAACCTCCAACATGGCAGGCTCTCTATTAAAAGTTTGGGGTAACTAAGGCAGATTATGCTTTAAAGCCGAAATGGAACCTATTCTCTCCCACACCGAATCTAAATCTTGAACTCTGTGTGCTTTCCCGAACCTGATGAGAAAGCTGATCTTTGAAGTAGACACCCAAGTCCATGTGCCTCTAAAGCTGTGAAGACCACAGATGTGCCTTTACAAGCTTGGTCGCAAGTCAGAGCCCCATAATGGGTTGGTTTCCTTACATGAAATTAGGAAGCACAGAAAAGTCCCATTGGACTTGAGAGGAGGCAGTGATAGGGAATCTACACAGTGGGGAAGAAAGTTGTATAAAAATTCTTACCTGTAATATTACTAGTCAAATGTGGACCAATGAATGTTCTGGATTTTGACCAATCAAATTTGTCATACTTCCATGGGGTGTAGAAAGAGGAAGAGTTGACAGAATTTCCTTCCCCTTCTGACGGAGGGATAGAAACATTGCTCTCTACTGTAAGTACCAAATGAAGAATAAGCAGCGTTATAGGAATTCACAGCAGACATAGATCACCTCTGGATGGGATGATTAGGTCATTTCCTGAATGCCCCATGGGAATGTTTGCCATCAGTTGCCAATGGCTGCTTTCTTCAAGGGCTTCTCACACTAGGGTCATAAGGCCAAAAGAACAAGAGCTTTTACCACCACTAGGAGTCCCCAGAGGGACACACTGAAGAGGAATCTGTCACAGTAAATACTGTCTTTTTTTTCCCCCTGGGGCAGCTGTTGGAGGAGACACCTGCTGAAAGGCCCCTAAGGCTTACAGACAAAGGCATGTAAATTTGGCATTTTCTGTAGGTCATACTGGAGTTTTAAAATTCTCTCAGAAGTATCTCACTTAAGTATGGTCACATAAGGTGAGGAGTGCTATGTCGGAGTAGTCATACCGACAATTATCTGGGAAGGTGAATCTTGCTTAGAAGACTCAAAAATAAGCAAATGAGAAGTTACCAGTATCTAACTAAAGTAGGAACTGAATTACGTGGTAAGTGGGTATTAAAATCATTTCTTAAGTCATGTATGAGATGGATGTTAATCTGGAAACTAATTCTCCATGATGTAATAATCACCTTTTATATCCCACAGGCATTTAGAAGAAATGCACTCACTATGAGCAGCAACCTCTGCATCTGCCTGATCATATTTAAAGGAACAGAGAAATATTTGTAATTAATCTGCCCAGTAAATACCAGCTCATAGCACTAGGCAGGTGCGTGTCTAGATAAAATTTCTTGCAGCTAATTTAAACTTTCTACACACACCAGTAGATAATCTCAATGTAAATAATACATTTCTTCTTGACCCTTTAACATAAAGCCAACATGTACAGGAGGATCTTGTATTCTGTATCACATACGTTTCTGTATACTTTTATCATTTGTGGATAGACTTAATAAAGCATATGTGAAAATGGCACCTTTGGTAGAGCTGTATATTTTCCTGAAATTCAGATTAAATGTAATGGTGAGCAGAGTTAAGCACCAGTTTTCCCATTTAAAGCCCCAGCTGCTTATTTTTTAAAATTTTAAAATTTCACACCTTTTATAAAACATGAGAATGCATTTTTCAGTACAGACATTTAAATAATAAGTTTTTTTGAACTAAACTACACAGACTACTGCATTTGAAG